AAGTTAACAGGCGGATAGAGGGACAGACTTTGAGGAAAAATAAGAGATGAGAGAGAGAGAGAGAGAGAGAGAGAGAGAGAGAGAGAGAGAGAGAGAGAGGAGAGAGAGAGAGAGAGAAACCCCTATGTCCATGATCAATTGAATATGACGACAAAATTAAGAATTTGAGAACCACTCACAGACTACGGGGTTGGCTTCTCATCATCATCATCCAGTGCCAGATCTGCGACAGACATCGGCGATCATGGTTTTCCATTCATTCCTTTGCTCGGATGCTCTAAAAAAAGCTACGTTTCCCTGATCTTTGGCTTCTAAAAAGCTGTATAAAAATAATTTGTACCTGTGCAGACGTGAACTTACACCGAACACATTTTTAAATAGAGGAGAAGGAATCCAACGGCTTAATTCCGGAGTATTTTATAGCGATAAGTGATTGTGAAATTCACTTTTATAAATACTGAAGCGCTGCAAATTCATGAAAATCTACGTACTGAAGGCTACTTACGTTTACATTTTGAGTATGAAGAGTGGGTTTATAAAAAAAATGGTGAGTGTTTTACGGCACTCGCAACTGCATAAGGTCACATGAGCGCACGGGACACATTAAACATTTTCAGTCTTGGTAGGAATTTTGATATTTGCCCGGGTGGTGGCCAAAGCCTACTCTTATCGACTTTAGGACCACCAAGGGATCTTTAACGTGCACAACTTGCACACGGGACCTTCAAGATTTTTCACCCTGATCCGAGAAGGCTAGATGCTAGATCTTACCAGAGAGTTTTTACAGTATTACTGTAAACCCTCTCTGATCTTACCTACCATAAGATCAGGGGTATGGCTGAAAGACAGAGCAGTAAGAAAGAGCCAATGAGAAGCGGTAGTCGAAAGGCTGCAGACAAAGTCAAGAGCTCAGAGGAGGGGGGGGGCAGAGAGGAGGGCTGAGAGGGCAGAAAAAGGAGACGAATGCAGACGACAGAATCTGAAATGTGTGTGTGTGTGTGTGTGTGTGTGTGTGTGTGTGTGTGTGTGTGTGTGTGTGTGTGTGTATGTGTGTATGTGTGTGTGTGTGTGTGTGTGTGTGTGTGTGTGTGTTTTGGTTGGGTTTTTTAAAAAGTAGCAGTACCTGATACGATAGTTTCGATGTTCGTTCAGAAGACTTAGAATCTATTCTAATATTGTCCGCCCTTTACAGACACAATTAAGAATATAAAATAGTGGAGTGTTTCCATCCTGCCTGTCATGGTCGATTCAGATAAGATAAAGTACATCTTTATTGTCCAGATCCTGGGACATTAGTTTAGAGTTTCACCACGTATACACACACACACACACACACACACGCACACATACACACACACACACTCACTCTCTCTCTTTCTCTCTCTCTCTCTCTCTCTCTCTCTCTCTCTCTCTCTCTCTCTCTCTCTCTCTCTCTCTCTTCCCTCACACATCCTCTCTTCCACACACATCTGTGCATACATATAACCATTAAAATACAATAGTATGCTTGCACTCACAAACAGGCTCACAGTAACATGCTTAATATGAATGAACATTGATTATAAACATTAATAGTGTTTAAGGTAGATACGAACTCAGTATTCTGACTGTAACTCAATGGTATTCTGATGCATGCTTTAGAGGTCATAGGAATACTTATAACAAAGACTATCAAGATGACAGAAGTTTAAAGGATGATTGTAAGAATAACCTTCTGTATCTTTCTTTCTTATAGTTACAGATCAGAAGCATAAGTCTTTTACTTCTGATTGATATTTTTATTTGAGGGAACAAGGGGTGTTTATTGTGTTCAAAAAGATGGAATTAATTTTTTCTAGTGCAAACAGGTTGAGTGAGACACAGTATTTGACCAGAAAGACGGAGATACTAGAAAACTGACTTCGGAACGCGGGAATCAAACTCAAGCCTTTGTGGTGCAACAGCGAAGGGTCTAACCATTACCCTTTAGACGCTGGTTATCGCCCGTCGAGTGTGCGTGAGTGTAGGGTTTACCGCCTCTATCAACACTAATAGGTTATTCTAGAGGCGAGACCTTCATATGTTAACGTCCGTCTCCGATAAGACCAAGCCAAATGGGCTGAGAGCTTTGAATGCGCCTCTAAACGACCTGAGCTCAAGAACGCCCAGTCTGAAATTCGAACCAAGGACATCCGCTCTGTATTCGAGCATGGTACCAACTGAGCTATCGCCGCGCCCATCGTCCATCGACCCCTGCTCACAAAAACAAAAGTGGCTATTGTCGTACTGCGTACTTTTTTTTCAGACGGCTGAAGAACGGAGGTCATTCTATGATAACACTTACAGACCAGAACTTTCCTGTATTAATTATCTCTGTCTGCACTGCGCGCTTTCTCAGTGCAGATCATAGAACTCGAAAAAGAACTAAAAGTTCCAGGAGCCGTACTAGTGGACTTTGTAAGAATCAAGTGTATGGGTTAAACGTTTCTTTAAAAAAGCATATTTAAGAGGCGGGACCTCAGAATCTTAGCGTCCATCTCCGAAAGACACGAGTCGAATGGGTTGAGAGCCCAAAGTTCTCCACAAAACAAAATGAGTACAGATATTCCCTCTTCCGGATTCGAACCGGGACCATCCACTCTGTAGACTAGCATGAGAACAACTTACTGAGCACGTAAAAAGAATAGATGAAGTTACAAGGGTGATACTTTAAAACAGGTGCCAGAGCTTCCCTTCTACATTACAGACTCTCTTCATGGAGGTGGTTTATTCTTTACGTCCCCATCAACACAATTTAGATCATTTAGGGAAGCAGGTTTCTGACCCTGTCTGTCAGGGCCAACCCGGGGCGAGAGGGATACAACATACCAGCAGAAAGAACGAAATACTCGATAGAAAGTGTATTACTCCTCGGGAATCGAACTCGGGTCTCCTGTGTGTGTTTATAACCACTACACCAGAGACGCCGTCACACCACAGTATTACATTGTCTTGTAAGTTATAGCAGTCTGAGGTCAAACTCCTAATAAGCACATTCACACCTCAGAAATAATAACAGCCTGATCATAACGGCTAACAGCTCTGAAAAAAATTGTGAAATAGTATAGGTTTAACGCCCCTATCAACACTGTTAGGTTATTTAAGAGACAGGACCTCCGAGTTTAACGTCCATCTCCGAAAGGACCGAGCCAGGTGCGAAATTCGTGTAAAGGACCCAATGACACACGGTCGGACCGAGTCCGGCAGCCTAACCACTAGGCCAACGACGCCACTTAACAGCTCTTTTCCGCACCCATTTGTAGGTACGGATCAGTATCAGTCTCTGGTATCATGATGAGCGACGTAGCAGACAGACCTGATTCGAATCACAAAGTGGGTGTTCTTGAACTTGGATCGTGTAGTAAAGTTTTCATGGCTCTCCAACATATGACGTCGTCCTTTCGGACATGGACCTTAAATTCTTAAATAATCCAACAGTGCTGAAAGGACGAAGGCACTCGTGGCCTAGAGGTAACGGTGTTTGTCTTTCATACAATAGGTCCCGGGTTCGAAACCTAATAGCAACGGAACATTTTCTTCTCTGAAATGTTCTCCTTTCACCCCCTTTCCTGCTCTCTAATCATGTTATGTCGTCTTCTTTTGTCACCATTTTCTGCCCCCTCCCCGCCCCTCACTTTGCCCCCTCCTCTGGGCTCCTGACTCTTTCTGCAGCCTTTCTACTGCTACTCCTTGACCCCTTCTTACTTCTGTCTTGCAGCGGCACCCCTGATCTTCTGGTAGGAAAGATCTAATACCTAGTCTTCTCGGATAGGGACGAAACATCTCACGAGGTCTCGTGCGCAAGTTACGCACATTAAAGATCCCTTGGTGGTCCAACAATCGATAAGAGTACACTTCGACCGCTACCCAAGAAAAATTCAAAATTCTTATCAAACTGAAAATGTTTAATATGTCTTGCTCGCTCATATTATGACCTTATGCAGTTGAGAGCGCCGTAAAACACTTACCGACCCCCCCTCCCTCAACAACCCCCCACCCCATACACACACAACCCCCCCCCACACACACACAAACACCCCCCAAAAGAAAAATCACCACCATCACCACCACCACCACCACCACCACCACCACCAACAACAACAACAACAAACGAACACACACACCCAAAAAAGCTGTACAATTAATTCTCCCGGTATCGAGTATTGAAACGGGGGCTCACCCATACATATGAGCAGTTACGTATCTGTGAAGACATAGTAGTGCCGCTGGTTGCAAACTTAGCCAACTTAGCATTTCTTTTCCTCTCTGGAACATCCTTAATTCTCAGCTCTGTCTCCTGGGGGGAAGCAAAGGGCTCCTTTTCTTCCAAAAAGACCTGAATGATAACAACAACAAGAAAAACAACAGCAATAGCAGCAGCAGCAGCAGCAGCAGCAGCAGCAGCAGCAGCAGCAGCAGCAGCAGCAGCAGCAGCAGCAGCAGCAGCAGCCTCAACAACAACAACAACAACAATAATAATATATTTTACAAAATTATTATTATATAATAATAATAATAATAATAGTAATAATAACAATAGTGGTAAAAATAATGCAATAATAATAATGGTAATAATAATAGGCCTAATAATACTAATAATACTAATAATAATAATAATAATAATAATAATAATAATAATAATAATAATAATAATAATAATAATAATAATAATAATAATAATAATAATAATAATAATAATAATAATTATCACGTATAAGCTCTTAGCGCTTATCCCGCCTAAGAGAATGTAAAACGTCACCTCTAGTTGGTGAATTTTGTATAATGTAAAACGTCACCTCTAGTTGGTGAATTTTGTATTTGCTTATTGACATTGCACCTTCTATTGCTTTTCCTACGTCTGTGGTGGCATCAATCAAGAAGAAAGGCAGAATAAACCAGTATGCCCAAAAACAAAAAGAGCTCAAGGCAAACACCATAAGTCACGTGTTGGTGTACATTACGGTTTGCCAACCTACATAACAGGCGTTGAACGCCCCTCAAACCTTCTTGGGGTCTCTATCGTCTTTAAGAAAAAAAACCAGATAGTGAATCGTATGCTAATGATTTAAAGCTACACCAGGGTTCATAGTGAAAGGTGAAAGTAAAAACCACTTCTTGCAGACTGCTTGATATATTCACAAGGTAGAATCTGTAGGATGAGCGTATTGTAAAAATAATAAAGTTTGTTTGACAAGTATCGTGTCGTCCAAAATCACAGCTATCTATCATGCAACTGGGACTTCTCAAATGGCTGCTTCTTGCAGCTGTTGTCGCAACGATTCTTTCCGCGGCTGAGGGAAAGAAACGCAAACACCGAAAGAAGTCCTACTACACATACGGCGGCTGGAAGAGCGTCGCCAAACCCAAGTCTCACAAAAGCAAATCGCATTCTCATCACACTCCTAGCCACACGTCTCCAAGTCATAGAAGCCACGACTCACCTTCGAGGGGTAGTTCGCAAGTCACGGTTCCTTTGAAAGAAAGGATCGTAGTAGAATGCCCTGCTCCGGAGAACAGAAGAGGTGAGAAATTGGAGTGAGCTAAAAATTAAGGCTTTATTCGGTTAGTGAAGAGGTGTCTACAAATCTTATGTTATGTTATATTATTTCATCTTATCTTATCTTAGCTCATCTTATGTTACCTTATCCTAATATATCTTATCTTTACGACAGGAAAACTTTTTATGATACTTTTCAGGGATTGAATTCGAAATTTACTGGAAAAACCGCAAGACCCCAGACCATACTTCGTAACCCTGTCATATTTCTCTCCTCACTCAGTGCAAACGATGGCCGAGAACATCACAGCCCTCTGGTCGTACGTGCAGACCATCGCTCACCCGATCCACGTGCACGTGCATGGAGGTGAGGGACACAGGTCACCTTCCAGGAACTGTGAGTACCAACCAACTGTCGTTAGGGTCCTGGACTCAGGACCGAAAGGTCGCGGTTGGAATGCACTTTGTTATGTTAACAATGTTATAATGATATTGTAAAGTGCATAGAGCCTTCATTCGCAAGTACAGTTACGCACGATATGAATGCCATTTATAACAGTAATAATTATTTCATGTATTACTTAATAATAATAATAATAATAATAATAATACAATGAGAGAATTAGTAATAATTATGGATATAGCAATAATAATAATAATAATAATAATAATATTAATGATGATGATGATGATGATGATGATGATGATGATGATGATGATGATGATGACGGTATTAATAAAAACATAAACTCCTCCTCCTCCTCCTCCTCCTAATAAAAACATAAACAATGATAAAACAATAATTCTTCTTCTTCTTCTTCTTCTTCTTCTTCTTCTTCTTCTTCTTCTTCTTCTTCTTCTTCTTCTTCTTCTTCTTCTTCTTCTTCTTCTTCTTCTTCTTCTTCTGAGTGCAGTATTTGTGAATAAACTTACCCCTCAACCCCCCCCCCTCCATTCAACACCATTTATTATATTATTTAAAGAATATAGGAGTGGGCTACTTCAACTCTTACGCCCAGGCGGAGGGGATACTGTATTCCAGAAAAAGGGCGGAGATGGACTTACTCACTAGCATACCTGTGTAGGATTCGAACTCTTGTCTTTTGTATGTAAGGCAAAAATCCTAGTTATTGCACCATAGACGACGGTTGTTTTCTTCCTAGTCCAAAAAAGGGGGAGGGGGGGGGGCGGAAAGAAAATATGGGAAATTGAAAAAAGTTAATATACCACTGATTTTTTAAAACTTTATGCTAATAGACTAGAAGGTGGTGTGACGCCATGTCCAAGGGTTTCTCTAAATCTGGATATTTTATTTTATTGATGTAGTTGTTTTTATTAAAATGATGATATTGATGATGCTGATGATGATGATGATGATGATGATGATGATGATGACTCGATAAGCCCCATGCATAGTAAGTGTTCCTAGTTTATTTGCAACAATTTGAACAATGATGTCTTCAACCTCTCTTCGAAGAAACAATTTTTAAACGTTTCTGTTGACCAGAAAGTTTAACTGGTTCTCCAAAGATTTGGATATTGCATAATTCAAGTAAACTGGATTTTTTTTCAAATATGCTAGGGACTATTTTGGCGCTCATATGACCTTATGCAGTTGCGAGCGCCATAAAACCTAACTACTTTTTTTTTTAAGAGACTATTTAAATTGACACAACTCCAATACCCCTTGCCCTGCCCTACCAAATCCATTCGTATCCTCAGATCATGGGTCATCAAAGAGCAAAGGTCATGGCCACTCTCACGGCAAAGGTCATGGTCATTCTCCCGGAAAGAGTCATAGCCATGATCACTCTCACGGAGGAAGTCCTCATTCCCACGGCAAAGGTTCACATAGTCACAGCAGGGGCAGCGGAGGAACCAGGTCTCCCAAGTCCAGAAGTGGTAGTCCCGGTCACTCGCATTCTCCGCATACGGGAAGAAATCACGCAGGCAGTCCTCATCATAGCCACGGGCATAGTCATGGGCATAGTCGTGGACCTAATCAGCGCGGACACAGTCATGGAGGACATAGCAATGGAGGACACAGTCATGGAGGACGTAGCCGCGGACACAGCAAACCTAAAGTGCCTGGGGGTCGTTCCACTCACTTGCACATTCACGTGACTGTCGATGGGCCTAGAGGATGCATGGGGAAGGGAATGGGGTCCAAAGGTTGTATGGGCAGAGGCAAGCCGCACGAGGAGGACGAAGGTATGTATTTATAAACATTTGAGAAATTACTTTTGAAATAAGATAAAGAGTTGAAGTTCTTTTCATTTTACAATACTTCAACATCGTCTGTGGTTAAGGTTATGGTTATGTGCTTCATCGTGGCACGCTGAAGACCTGACTTCGGTTCTGGAGTGGGGAGAGTTTTTATCAGGATATGTCGGTCTTTCTGCTGGGACATTGTGTCTTTTTCAGCCAGGGTTGGCCTCGTCAGTTTTTCTGTTGACGTTGAATGGCTGGCAAAAGCAGGAACGCGCGGAACATGCTGATTGATCGGTATCTCTGATATCGGGTTAAATTGGTTAAACATTCCACCTTTTTTAGGAGACAATGATCACATTTTACAAGGTTTTTGAAAAACAAAGACCTAAACGTCGTTTAAAAAACAAACAAGGAATCGAAAAAATCCGCCACATGGTCGGGGAGAAAATGACAATTTTCTTATGACGTGGGTGCTAAGAACACCAATTTAAGCACCAAAATGTTGTTTTTAAGAACATGACCTACTTTTTAGAGTACCTAGTAGTATACTCACTTGGAAGGAAAAGCGCAAAGACTTTTTTTTAAAAAGACTATATTTTCTTTTTACACTATCAAAAAGTAATACCTTTCTTTTGATCGCCAGCCAGTTTTTGTATACTTCTCAGAAAGTCGAGATTGTTTCAGAGGAGTCCCACCAGGTCTTCTGGGGTAGTATAATAATAACATTATAGATTGTAAAGCTCGTAGAGCTTGATTTTTAACAACAATTTGCTCAATACAAATGCTACTATTTCATATTATATCATTATATTTACAAATAAACAGGAGGTTGGAGGGCACCAATTGTAGGTCCACCTTCTTTACTTTGCCTCTGTTGTTCATGTCTGTCTGTCTGTCTTACTTTTTCTCCGCACCAAGTGGCCATTATTATGCGGACGTGCTTCTCTTTACTCAAACAAACAAAACATAATAATATTACCAATATACAAACAAGAATACTTGACCGATACGATTGTTTATTAATACTAATGTACTAGTGGAAATACTTTATTTTATCCGTCCTCTTTTACCTCAAGGGCGTCGAGGGGAAAAGATCTTTCTGTCTCTAGCAAGTTAAATGGCCTGGCTGGATGGGATGTTGTATAATATTCTCAGAGTATCCTTCACACCCTCGATCCAGGTTTTCCTTGGCCTTCCTCTTGCCTTGTGCCCTGATATATTTCTGTAACACTCAAACAAGCAAAACATAAACCAAAATAATACAAACAGGAATACGTGACCGATACGATTGCTTATTCATTCTTACGGCCAAGTGAAAAATAATGCAACAAAAACATCCCGTTTTTTCTCCCCCTTCCCCCCCCCCCCCCCCCCCCGCGCCCATGTGATTGCTGGCCTGTCAGACTACGTGTACGCCAAGTGTGACCTCCCCGGCCCTGGAGTTCAAGGCTCGGTGTGGCTTCGTCAGAAGGTAGGGAACTACTTTCCTTTTATTTTTAGTAAGCGTTTTACGGCATTTGCAAAACAAAAAGGTCAAAGAAGTGCCGAAGATTTTTAGCTTTAGTAAAACTTTTACGGCAGTTGCAGCACTACAAGGTCATAAAGTGCAGAAGGTTCGAGGTGTTACATGAGCCAAGAAAAAAAAAAGGAAGGAGGAGAGATAAAGACGATAGATATCTGCTAAGATAGAAGGAGCAAACAATACCAGAGCAGGTGCCAACCATCCACTTAGGAGACTACGAGTATTTTTTTCTGTTAGAGTTTTAAGGCACTTGCATAACAAATAACCAATATATAAATCCCGACGATTAGAGGTGTTATTGTTAGGTTAGAGAGTAACATTCAAAGAAAAGGAGGAGGAGAGAAAGGAGGAGAGAAAGGAGGAGAGATTAGGACGATAATTGTTTTATAGGAAAGAAGGAGCAAACCCCACTATAGCGCCCGCCAACCACCTATCTCAGTGTTTCGGCCTTTCTGCTGGTACATCCCTTCCTTTCCTGCCCGGATTGGCCTTAAAATGAAGGGTCGAAGCCAGCTTCCAAATTAATCTAAAGTGTGTTGATTGGAGCGTAAACAAAATACTTATATAAAAATATACAGTCTAACCTGCTCCAACGGCCACCTGTATAAGACAATCACCTGTACAAACGGCCACTTCCCATTTCTCCCCCTTGCGTTTTTTTACAATTATTATAATGACAGTGTAAAGCTACCACCTGTACAAAACGGCCACTTTTCTCCTCAGCAGTGGAAGACGTTCTCAAACAATTTCGA